GGTCAGAGGGTTGTCATCTTTATGGACTACATGGCCAATCAGACCGAATACCCGTGGCTCCTCGACGAGTTCTCCCAGATGTGGGAGACGCCATTCGACCCTGTTGACAACACGTTTCCGTGCGATGTCGCCCGTCCGCCAAACCTGGCTCCTGAAGATGCTCGGAACCGGCTCAGCTTCATCAACCACAACCTGAACGTCCCGCTCGCCGTGCTGGGCGTGGACCTGCTAGTGCCGGCCCGTGCGGAGCTCAACACGACGAACAATGCGACCGGAAAGGGTAGTCTCGGACTCACGGCAAACAACTGCCTCACAAAATGGGGCCGTCCGCCAAACTTCCTCAATGTCGACTACTACAACACTGGAAGCTTCCCGGGGTCGGTGTTCGAGGTTGCGGCCCAGATGAACAACGTCACGTACAATCGGCCCTGCTGCGGTGTCCCGGCCGATTCGAGTGCAAATGCACTCCGCGGCACATCATGCCGTCCATGGGCCAGCCTGGTAGCAGGGTTGGGGGTAATGGCGCTGTCGTGGACGCTTTTGTAGAATTGGCTTTGTGTATAAAAAGGCGTTGTAGCACTTATATAAATAAACATGTCGTTGCCACATCAACTGATGGTTCTCTCTGGCTGCGTCTAGATGGGAAGGAATCCAAGGAGAAGAGGTAGCCAGCTCCTCCTCTATCTCTTCCCTTACTTGTGGCTTACCTGTAGAGGAGAGCAGGCTGGGATCGATGCAAAGCGGGATCGAGCGTCATAAAGCGCGTACCCTGTATAGAGAGTATTGATTAACAGTAAAGAGTATACATACGGCGATTATGTGGTCTTAGGCCTCGTATCTGTAGTTTGCAAGTTTAATCGGACCAAGAGCCAGTCTCGCGTCCAACACCAAAACTCATCTCTCGTATTGACTGCATATGAACATATGCACAGAATGTTACAGCGTTGCTGCCGCCTCAATCGCACCGACAGCTTTGAAGGTCTTTTTACTTGTCCAATTTATCTCGACGTTGTGCATCCATTCCATGTAGCGTGCCCAGCCTGTGTCAATAAGTCAGCCATTGTCACCGTCGCAGCTCCAGAGGGGCAAATACTCCAGTATGCGAATTTGCGGCCAAAGTATTTCCCAGCGAAGGGGACCAGAATCATGGTCAGGAGGAGCTGGAGCTGCTCCAAGCTCTGCTCCCATTCCCTTTGAGCATCATAGTCCTCCTCGTCCGAGTCGTAGCTCTCTGTAGAGGTCGAGGGCAGCGAGTCTATATCGTCATTGTCGGAGACGGAGAGGTCTGGGATGGCGAAGGAGTCGGAAAGAGACATGGCGTCCGATGATTCTCTATTGCGCGTGGTAGTAGGAAAGGGTGGAACGTAGCGATCGGGTGGCTACTGGTTGATGGCCTGATAAACCATTGGGTCCCCCGGTACGTTGAAGCAGCGACAGGCAGAGGGCTTCTGGCTGGCCGGGCGGAGAAACACGGGGGATTGGTATCAATGGGATGTTGGACGCGTGAAGCTCGCCGGTGTGTAAGTACAAGTACTAAGGTCACGATTCTCGGTGAGCAATCGGCAAGTGTCGTCAACAACTTGGAGTACTGCTGTAGAAGGGCTTGGCAAAGGTCCCAGGTACGTAGAGGTGGTACCTTAGGTAGTAGGTACCTCAATAGTACATTCCACCACTGGCATGGATAGCGCCTGAAAACCCTGAGCCCTCTCATATTACTTGGTACCCCTACCTACTAGATAGGTAGCGAATACCTTGTAAGAGCACTTACCCTGCAAACCCCAAGCTTGATTCCAGTGACTCAACACAAGTGGGCGAGCTGTGTCGATGCATCTATCTAACCTACCTGATACAGCATACACATGTCCGGTAGGAGAATATCCCGAATGAAGGCCAGTCCTGCCCAAGACGTTATCTCTCCATTCCTCATCATTTATTACCGTTGTCGCACCCATCTCCAACCTCAACACAAAACCACTCCCCAACTCTATTAACATACAAAGTAACGCAACAGAGCGCCACATCATTGCTGCTCATCGCGACAGCTGACAACTGCTCTTGATCGCTAAACGTCCCGTCGACCGCCTCCGTATATTGGTTTTGGGATACTCTTACTTAGTCAAGCTTTCATCATGGATGCGACAGAAGAAGTCAGTGCTCGAACCTTCCCTATGTCGTTTCATTATCCCATTTCTTCTCCTCCGTTGCCACGACTGTTTGAGCTTCCCCCACCACAGCCTACAGTAGACAGTCCACTGTACACGGTGCTTTGTCCCTCGCCACAACTCGCCCTTTATCGCATAAACTCGCCCTTTATCGCTATATACGGTTCCTGATAGCTGCCCCTCCCCCAATCCTGTACCCTTGACCGTCTCCCGAGCCCCACCAAAACCAAGAGGCGCGCAAATTCGTCTATGCAAGCCCGCAAAAAGGAGTCATCGTCATCAGCTGTTTTGCTTTTCTTCCACCTCGAGTGTTTCTAGTCTAAACTGCCCGACCAATAATCTGGCTGAGCACGTGACCTCCGCCTCCGTCTCTGCCTCACACTTTCTCTCCACCGCAGCCTTGGCACAGTTTACGCATTCTTCAAGCGCAACCACCTTGTGATATAGACACTGACTTGCGCAGCAAACCCGACCGTCGCTCGCCGATCGTAAACAACGCAAGTCCGTAGTGTTCAGCTCCGAAGCTATTGTTGTACAGCCTGACGGTCAAGTCACCATGTCGTCCACCGAGGAGAACCGGGACCCAACCGCCCAGTCTCATTCTACCCCACCCGAGGAGGAGCAGCCCGAGGCGCCCCCCGCTGACGATAGCGGCGCCCTCGACCTTGGAAAGAAGAAGAAGAAGAAGGCCAAGAAGGATACCGCCGAGGATGGCGAGGCCCCGGCCGAGGAGGGCAATGGCGGTATTGACCTTGCGCTGAAGAAGAAGAAGAAGAAGAAGCCAAAGACGGACGATGAGTTTGCTGCCAAGCTCGCTGCTCTGGACCTCGAGAAGGAGGGTGGCGAGGAGAAGGTGGAGGAGCAAGCGGGAGATGCTAAGCAAGGCACCGGCATCTGGCAACACAACCAGGTTACGCCCATTTCCTACGACCTGCTGCTCGGCCGTTTCTACGATCTCCTCACCGAAAAGAACCCCGACCACGCCTCGACTGGCTCACGAAGCTACAAGATTCCTCCTCCTCAGTGTCTCCGTGAAGGCAACAAGAAGACTATCTTCGCCAACATCGAGGACATCACGAAGCGAAGTCGGTACCCCCCAGTATTCTCACCTTCGAGCTCTCGCCTGTGCATCAGGGCGACGCCGTATTGCTTGGTGTAATTATAGCATTTTGAGTATATACTGATATTTCTTACAGTGAAGCGAAGCTCAGAACACGTTACCGCATATCTCGTAAGTTTATCTTTCCCACAAATCTTCACGTTTGCGCCCAAGACTGACCTTTGATCTAGTTTACGGAATTGGGAACGACGTAAGTGATACTCATAGGCACTTTTTCAGATCAGGCCCCCGTCTCCTGCGCAGGCGTTGAAATGGCCAACTGTGGACTTCCTGTTGCTGACTACGTCTTTCCAGTGGTTCGGTTGACGGCTCAAAACGTCTTGTCATCAAGGGTCGTTTCCAACAGTACGTTACAAACCTGTTGCCTTCACTTAGCACTCAGTACTAACATGAAAAAAGGAAACAAATCGAGAGTATGTTAAGGAAGTATATCATCGAGTATGTGACATGCCGCACATGCAAGAGTCCCGACACAACTCTCGAAAAGGGAGAGAATCGACTTTGTAAGTTCTGGCCCCTTGTACAAAAGCCGAAGTGGCCGGATTGGCACAATGCTAACCACTTGTTATCCGCTTAGACTTCATGACCTGCAACAGCGTAAGTTTCCAGTCTTTACATGACCCGAGCCGCCGAGCTCCATCCCGCGATTCCGCGTCGCCCCTATGGTCGCCTACTAACGAGCGGTCCAGTGTGGTTCTCGTCGTTCGGTCACTGCCATCAGGAGCGGTTTCACAGCCCAGGTTGGCAAGAGAAAAAAGCAGCAGGGCTAAACGCCCATGGTGGTTGGGAATCTGTTTCTTCTTATTCGGTCGCATGGTGTCCTAGAATCTGTTTCCCAAGGGGGTGGGGTATTCTTACGGGTATTTGCAACGTGGTCATGAAACCAAACGGCATGTGTCTCGGTTCAAACGGCTACCTATCCTCGCTTTTGTGTTTCGAGGGGAAAAGTGCTTGCATTACGACAGAAATCACGCCCATGGACCCGTCTGTTTCTTTAAATAAGCAGACGCCATCGAAATGATATCGGGGGTATGACGTTAGGTTGACTGGAGGATTTGTTAATAAGATAGGAAAATGATCTTATTATCTGCCCACCCAGTGGTTTAAGCTGCGACTCCCTAGCCAAACCACACAATATTTTAATACTGTCTATCCTAGTGACGACTCCCTGCTCGCCTGTTTACTCTCTATGGAATTACGTATCGGTGTTGCATTGCATATTCTGGCAGGTGCAATCCTGTGGATCGACAAACATTAAGCTGGCACATTACCCATTAACACTCACCCTGTGTCTTCCCACTGCTGAAGAAGAACTGAAATGCACGACAGCAAAAGGATGGGCAGAACTTGTATTCTGTCCGTCCTTCTTAAGGGGTACCGTTCGATAGGGAAAAGAGAAAAAGGAGGCGTAGCAAGATACAACACTTCAAACCCAGATGGGGGAAACGGAAAAAAAAAAGAGGAGATAAAAAGCATATATATCTTGTGACAAGAGTGGGACTTGAACCCACGCGGATTGCTCCATGAGGAAACTGTTTTTGCTAAGGTAGACCTTAACCTCACGCCATAACCAACTCGGCCATCTTGCCAGAGAGACGGACCTCTTTACTTCCTTGCTTCGTCGGGGGAGTATTCTGCTAGATATGAAGGACCCTTGAAGGAGAATAAGAATTATAGAAAAAATAATAAAAATAAGCAGAGAGAGGATATTTCTTTTGTGACAAGAGTGGGACTTGAACCCACGCGGATTGCTCCATGAGGAAATTTGTTTGTTTGCTAAGGTACACCTTAACCTCACGCCATAACCAACTCGGCCATCTTGCCAGAACAGAGGAAATATTTCTTACTTCCTGGTTGCTTGGGATGCTAACGGGATATTGGAGGTTGTATGACTCGTGTTTGCGTGGGTTTGTTTAGTTCCTGCGCCAGAAAAAAACATTGGAGTGGGTCAGGGGAGTAATAAGTGTTAGCTAGGTTAGGCGATCTAGACGAGAGAGGAGAGAATAGGCAAAGAGATAGAGATTCTGGTTGCTTTAGGCTTATAATAGAGTGGTCAACATAAGGTAATGAAATATAGGTAAGAGAAATAGAGATAACAAGAGAAGAGGGAAGAAAAAAAAAAAAAAAAAAGAGGGAAGGGAACGTAGAAACAATGTTTGAGCCGAGGGGGAAAAAGAAAAAAAGGAAACTGATGCATCAGCCGTGAATCGAACACGGGGCCCATCGATGGCAACGATGGATTTTACCACTAAACCACTGATGCGGGCTCGTTATAGTATGTGGACCCTAAATTGTGCTTAAATGCCTCCCAGTCTTGGCGTTTATTCAGAAAGTGACTCGGAGGTGGCATGCCGCTTGACCGATGCTCGAGTTCTCTATAGATGCAAGGAGCGAGCTTTTCATTTATGCCTTGATCTAAAAAGGAAGATCTGCGAAACAATGTATTTACTTAGGATCTCTGGTTGTGCCAGTATGCACCCTTCTGTCTTAACATGAGGTTGAACCAGTGAGTCGCGATGTTCATACAGGGTCCTGAAAAGCATCCCCTTAGTCCTCTGTCGGCGTCAGGAGTAGACGTGTACACCTGTTGCACTGCCTCTGGGAAATGATCTGGGGCCCAGTGCGTATGGCTTGCCGCCTCAAACCTTCGTAGTGAGAGGGCCTTGAGACCACTGATAAAATACTTTCCTGCAGGGGCATAAACCTTCGCATGAAAGAGAACAAGCAAAAAAAACTCCTCGTGTACGTCCACCAACACGCCGATGGGGCTATCACTTGGGCAGAGGATGGGCTCTGGGGTTAATCTATGGTACGGCTTAGGAGATCAGGCCGGGTTGCAGTGCCAATTAAATAAACCGCAGCGCTAAACACGCCTCGTCAGTTGAGGCGTGTGATTCTCGTGATCATTTCCCTTGGAATGAGATCCAGCGCAAACCATTCCGACACCTGGCTTTGTTGCACCTCGACGCCAAGGTACCGTCGCACATCCATTGTCGAGAGAAAGATGCAACCTCTGGCAGGATCTATCCAGGCAGGGAGGTTTACAGCCCCGGTGCCGAATCCAATCTCCAGGGTTGTCGATTGTAGTGACTGTGAACTGATTTGTGCAATAAAGACGCCACGCTGGCCTTTGCTGAGATGAAACAGAGCGCGTTTCTGAGCTTCGGCTGTAATTTAAGGATGAACAGATCAGAATGGGGTACTTTTGCCTTGACAAAACCAATGCCAGCCAGCTCTCTCACATTCGTTGTCGAAAACAGAAATGAAGGGGCTCCATTCTGGCGACTTGTTCTGCCAGTCGAGATGGTGGTGGAACTTCTTTGCATTGATCCAGTGGCATTAATTCATGAAATAGTGTCCTCTGGACTTGAATCCGCCATCCTCATAGTATGTAAAGGAACTTTGGTGTTGAACTCGATAAAAGTTCGGTGGAGGGTTGGACTCGAGCCGAGCAGATGCCATCCGCTTCTTCTTCTTAACGGCAGGCTTCTCGATGGATAAATAAGGTGCTTGTACAACCTCAGGCCTTTCTTTTATTGAGTAGGTCACAATCAGCCTGACTAGGTGGATATGGAGTGTATGGAAGTGTAGGTACCTTATGCATTCTTGTCAGGTTACAACGGTGAGGGGGCATAACCGAGTACTTACCTAACCTAAGTACCTCTACTCCAACAACAGGCCGCGCTACCATCGATAACACTTTGGTCGACTGAGGATACCGTTGCCGATCCGGTATGTTGAATAATCGAGGTACGCACTTGATTCTCTTACGAACAGCGAGTTTCGATGCTGCTTTCCTTCCCCATACTCCCTGCTGGACCTGTTTGACAATGAATCTCTTGGCTAAATTATATTCCCGTGGACGGATCAGATAAGCTGGTAACATGTCGACAACCCCTCATCTACCTGATAATACCTGGCCGGACGCTATGGGCAGTGGCCAAAATGGGATCCGTAACTGGCTTGCCCTGTGCGCAATCCGTTGAAGAGTGTGATCACAAATCTACCAGATAGTGTTTGTAGTGTCCTTGGGAGACAGTATACAGCAAGCCCGGGCCGGAGTATCATGCTTGCTTACTATCAGGAATCACGCCGAGTTCTCGGTTGGCATGACAGGGTGTGAAAACCCGACCGGGCCGGGACAGCAAGAGAAACCAAAGATTAGAATCCGCCCCGAAGAGTTCATCCAGTGGGGAGCGAGGACGTACCAGCAAGTCAACTCTGTGACACAAGTTGGTAGGTCAAATGGAGCGTGCATTAGACTGGGGTCACTGGAGCCCCTTGCTGGGAAGTTGGCCCCAAGGGACCAACAACGAGGTAGGTACGTACCTCCTTTGACCCCAGAGGCAGCAAACCCGACAGCTACCTAGGTTAGGTTACAGTTTCCTTCTCACCCCTTCTTCTTCATGTCCCTCGTCATCATCTATCCCTCAATTCAGGCGCCTAGGAGACATCATGGGGTACAAGATAACGTCTCTGCTTCTGGGTCTCGTACTATGGATTCTCACACTGGTCCGGCGGCAGCGCGAGAGACGAGCCTCGGCGCAGAGTCGAGGATGCGAGCCCGCCGTCGTCCACCAGCCGGTCGAGCCCTTCTCAGGCTTCGACTTCCAGATGAGGATGTATTCGCACATCCCATTCCTGCATCAACTTCATCAGAAGTACGGGGAGACCTACGAGGTACGGACGTTGGTCAGTCTTCCCACCGTCTGCACGATTGTAGTCGACAACATCAGGGCGGTCAACACGTCCAGGGACTTTGGCGTCGAGCCGATGCGGCTCCCCGGTCTGGAGCAGTTCTGTGGGAAGGGTTTCATAACGACGGACGGCCCTGTTCGGAAACAAGCTCGGAAGCTGCTGAAGCCGTCGTTTGATATGAATAGTATTCGCGACTTGACTGTCCTCCGGTCAGAGGTCGACAAACTTCTTCAACAGCTGCCCAAGGACGGTTCGACTGCCGATCTTCAACCTCTTCTCTACGTCGTGGCAAGTACTGTCCGCTAATAAATATTCTTGTCGGTGGGGACTAACGTCGTCTCGGAATGTCATCCCCGGGCAGTTTCTAAACACAGCTCTCCATTTTGTTCTCGGGGTCGACCCTTCGGCTCAGTCATCCGATGCACCGCTTACTCCCGACGCATTCGTCAAATCCTTCCATTCTTCTCTTGTCTATAGCATGTACCGAGTAATGCTGGGCCCGGCATGGAAACTCGTACCCAAAAAGGGATACATCGAATCGTGTACAAGGGCGCACAACTACCTCGATTACTACATCAGCCAAGCGTTCGCGAGTGGCGAAGAACAGAAGACCAAGAGCCTGATCAAGGAACTTTCGGTCCAGACTGACGACGCAGGTTTCATCCGTAGTCAAGTGATTCAAGCTATGATGGCAGCCCAGGACACTACGTCCGAGTTGCTGACTAACTCCTTGTTCGTTCTCGCGCGCCATCCTGAGTACTGGCGTCAACTTCGTGTCGAGTTCTCAGGTCTGTCTGAAGACGACCTCAGGGGAGATAGACTGTTGGGCTCCAAGTTGACTGCAAATATATTGCATGAAAGTGAGACCCATGACTCCTTTTCCTTCTGTACCTCATGCATGTTATATCCCGACCAACACCGTCAGCTTTGCGCCTCCACCCCATCTTCCCGCTCCTCGGTCGGATCGCCCTGAGAGATACTACCCTCCCTGTAGGAGGAGGACCTGACCAAGACCGCCCGATATTCGTCCCGGAAGGGTCGACCGTCGTTTTGGCCTACTATTCTCTTCACCGCGACCCGTCCGTGTTTGGAGATGACGTCGAGGTTTTTAGACCCGAGCGTTGGGACTCTATCAAGCCAGACCAGTGGCAATTCTTAGGATTCGGCGGTGGCAACAGAGCATGTCTTGGACAGCACAAGGCCATGATGGAGGCGGCCTTTGTCCTGGCTCGGTTCTCTCAGTCCTTTGAGAGACTAGAGAGCCGCGATACTAAAGATTGGCAAGGCGAGTTGAAGTTGACGTGTAAGAGTGCAAATGGATGCAAGGTAGCGTTGCACTAGGATGACATGTCCAGACGAAGAGCTCATCCCATACTATTTGGGGGGCAGAGCAAGTCTGGGGTACTCAGCTCATTCAACCCAATGTCCTCTCTTGAGCTGCACAGACAAATCTATCGTCTTGCCGTGACTCCAGGCTGGAAAATGCAAAGTGTCAAAGGGAATAACCGCCGTGCCAGAAAATTTTTGTACAGATGACCAACCCAATGCAAAACCTCATGATGACTTCAATCACATGCCCCCAGCCTTGCCCCTATCCACTCGCCATGCAAATTCATCCAGCCGTCCAAATCTCGGCCTCTACACACATCCGGTGGGTATAATAATCGAACTCCTGCTCCCCATGGCCCTAAGCGCCTGACTCCAATAAGCGCGACGATGGGAGCCGTGTGACTGTGTATGACCGGCCTAAACCTGGCGAAGGCGGTTCCTTACAGACGGCAATATTTCACTTAGCTGCCAGGGGATTCCTAGTCGGCCTCGGCGAGCTGCATGATTAGCCTGGCAGCCATGTCGAGGAACGGGAAGGGGCTCATAACGTCCTTCTCTTCCAGCATCGTCCCGTCAGCACGCTCGTAGCCGGCACACTTGAAGTCTACCAGATAGACCGTCGGTTCCATCTCGTATATCTGTATCTCCATCCGCATCCAGACAAAGTTTTGCTGCCGCCTGTCCATGACCGAATAGACGTACATATCCTCGTCCGCAGCCGCCCCATCCGAGCTAGAGAGACCGGCCGAGACGGCCTCCTTGCGTATGTCTATCCGGAGCAGTGTTAGTTCGTCCAC